GGGAAACTCATGCTCATGTGTCCAGTGCACACAGCTTCTTATATTTCTGTCTTTATGCACGCACGCAGTTGCAGATGTGAGTGGTGACGTGGGTCCCGTGATCTCGGAATAAAACTGGCACAAATATTTACTCCTCTGTCAAAGTGACAACATCTCAACATGATCAGCTGCCAGTGTTTGCTCTGCTGCTGTCTGATTGTGTTTTCTCACAACTGTCAGTCATATGTCAGCAGTGCTACACATCAGCATGGGCAAATTAAAAATGCATGAGTTTTAAAGAGCTCATCAGCTTGTCAGAATAAACAGCGTCAGTCTTGCTGCAGCTTTGAACACAAACATCTGAACTCTGCTCAGTAATGAGAGGGTTCAGTCTGAGGCGTCCAACTTTAAATCTTCAAGCCTCTGCCCTCGGCTGCCCCTGTTGCCATGACGACACCCACGTTGCCTTCTGCTCCCTTCTTGTTAAGGCATTATCTTGTTCAGGAGCTGATATTTGGATTCGGGGGCGTCGGGCTCTCATCGGAGAGCGTTAATGAGGCCCAGCGGTGGAACGCTGGCTGCTCGCCCTCATTAAATCTCAGTAATGACTCTGAGGGTGGGACTGAACTCGAAGATGTGAACCAAAGAGAAACCACTTTGTAATGATTGTTTTTATGTTTTGTCTTTTGTAAAGTCACACTGAGGTGTAGCAGTGTTAGACCCCACCCCCTCCCTACAGGGAGACACTTCCGACCAGTGGTGTCACTGGGTATCTGTCAGTACCCTCTCTGTCCCTGTTCACCTGCTGTGCTGGAGAGTGTCCCAGCATGCACTGGGTGAGAGGTGGGCTCAGACACCTGTAGCCTCAGTTCCACCAGCTTCTGTAACGTCAATGTTTCTGTCATCGGTTTCTGAGACAACACTGATTTTTAGAAGAAACCTGAACAGCAGTTACTTTGTGAGAAGAAGAAACTACAGCTGCCATGAAAACTTACAGCAGCAGGGCGAGTACATCCATCACTGTAACTTTCATTCACATCCATAAAACACAAAGTTTTTTCAGCATCTGAACTGACAGCGACACCTCTACTCATGGACTTCTTCTGTGGCCCTGATGGTCTGAGGGCTTATGGGACTTAATGTTTTTAAAGGAGGCTAAACAATATACACAATGATATTCAAAGTTAACACATGAAGTGAGCCACAGGGAAAGTTTCTGCTCCACAGCCATAGTTGTGGTTGTTTCTTTAAAATCTCAACCTGATTCTGTGGTTTTATCCACTGACTGAATCACAGAACGTGTACATCCTGCAGGAAACTCTGCAGGTAATGAAGCGTCCGATCAGATTGTTAGATTCTGCAGTTGTGTTCAATCAGATTGTAGTGAACTCTATCCTGTTTGTCTTGCAGGGTCTCTTCTGCCTGCACAGGAAAGGAAAGATGCATAGAGACATTAAGGTGAGCTGCAGTCAAGATTTACTGCTGATCTGTTGTAAATGTGGTCAAGACTTGGTGGATGTGATGAAAGTTACATGGTGATTCACTGTGATTGATCCACAATTTGACTGATTGACTATCCACGTGCTCAGATCTTAATTTCACACCTTCTGTTTTAAAGCTGCAGCACTTTCTTAGAGTTGTAACTCTGAGTGAGACCACTACACCAAATTAGCTCACAGCCACAACTGCTCCTGGGGGCGATGGTGTCACGGCTGAGAAGCCCTGCTGGTGTCTGGAGGGCAAAACATTAAAATCACATGTGAACACACTGTACATGACTGAACAAGTGTACTTAATAAAGTGGCCAATGAGTGACTCAGCAGACAGTTTAAAGTCATTAACAACAGACCAGAAAAAAATACTGAAAGCTCTGAGTTTGAGCTCTGATGAACGCCCATGAGAGAGTTCTGGCCTCCGCGGGTATTTCTGCAGCTTCGCTTCTGACGATTATCAAGATATGTCGTGAAGCCCGAGCACATTCTTATAGCACTGTTCAGTCATTTGTGTCACCAGATGATTCAAAGATCATGTGAAGGAGAAGCTGTTTTGATAGCTGCAGTGCGTTTCTGTCCTCTGTCGGGGTGTTTGAGTGTCAACCTCGGTGCTGTCTGAATAATTTATCACTGCTCTCGGGGGGGTGGTGGTGGTGGAGGCGGGGTGGAGCACAGTGCTGCTGATGAAAATTTAAAGACACTGCATCTGAGCACTTTGGAATATTTGCTAACGGTGAAGAAAATCCAGAGCTGGATGGTTTTAAATGGATGGCTGACATTTCCACCAAGTGTCCTGAGCTCAGGTCACCGCCATCTTTTCTTCTTCTCCTGTCTGAATGTGATGACTTCTGACCTCAGACCACCTCACTAAGGGTCAGTGGTTTATTTCAGCCCTGAAGCTTCTGCTGTTCACACAAAAACTTTCTCTGCTTGAACCTGGATTAAAGAGAAAATCAAACTGAGACAAACACTGATGATGAGCAGAGTAGGTGAGGGGAGGTCATTGATTTTCTAAGAAGTGAACTGACTGTTTCCTGGAGGCAGGAAGAGCTCCTCGTCACAACCTTACAGCTTTCTATTAACAACCATCAGGCCTCATGTGCCATCTTCTTATGAGGAGCCTCTCAGACCTTTCTCTGCCAGGTTTTGAGGCAAAATCATAAAACCAGTCAGAGCTGGAGGAAACTTCCAGAGACCTGTGTTTGTTTGTTTGTTGCAATTACTCAGCACAAACAATGGAAATTATTATAAGAATACTGTCAGCATTTACATGTAATTTCAGCAATATTCTGGGAAAGACTGGCATAAATCACGCGAGCAGGTGCTAAACTGCTTGACTACGATCGTGACTTGTGTAGGATTCACAAGGTCTTTTCAATGTGATTTTCTTGCTACACCAATGTTGGCATGCAGTGTAGTTGTATCAGTAACAAAGAACATTCATTTTTATGATATCATAGAGCCGCGCTGTGATATCACAGGCAAGGCAAAGTAAAGCAGCTTTATTTGTATAGCACATTTCATACACAGGGGCAAAGAAACTAAAAAACTGCATTAAAACCAGAATAAAACCAGTTATGACAAAATAAAGACACAACATTATTACAATAAGATAAAATGAAGATGACGAACAAAGTAACACATTAGAGAGCAGTTACAGTGCAGTAATAAGTTGTATGTTTACCGGAATGCAGCACAGGAAACCAAAGTGCAGCAGAAAACCAGTCAATCAGAGGCACAGGAGAAGAGCAGAGTTTTTAGCTGCGGCTTGAAAGTGGCAGAGTCGGGGCACATGTAAGGTCATCAGGGCCAACCTGAGGAGGGGCATCAAGAAGGCCAAGCATCACTACAAGCTAAAGGTTGAGGAACACTTCACAATCTCTGACCCCCGATGTATGTGGAAGGGCATCCAGGTCATCAGTGACTACAAGCTTGGCAACTCCACCCCAACAACTACAGATGTCTCCTTCCTCAACAAGCTAAATGAGTTCTACGCTCGCTTCGACCGGGACAAGGAGACAGCTATCAAGTCCAGACCCTCCACAGACCACCAGCCACTCACACTCACCTCCACTGACGTGTATGCTGCTTTGAGCCGGATCAACGTAGGCAAGGCCGCTGGCCCTGATGGTATTCCTGGACGTGTGCTCAGGGCACGCGCAGGACAGCTTGCTGGCATCTTTACAGACCATTTTAACCTGCCCCTTGCCCAAGCAGTTGTACTGGCATACTTCAAAATCACCTCCATTGTGCCAGTGCCGAAACATTCCACCCCGATGTGCATGAATGACTATTGCCCTGTAGCACTCATACCCATTGTCATGAAGTGCTTCGAGTGCCTGATCCTGGCTCGTCTGATGACCTGTCTCCCACCCACACTGGACCCCCACCAATTTTACTACCGAAGGAATAAGAGCACAAAGGATGCAGTCTCCATAGCATTGCACTCTGTACACAAACACTTGGACAATAACAATACTTACATAAGATTGCTGTTCGTGGACTTCAGCTCAGCATTTAACACAGTCATCCCCTTCAAGTTAACCACCAAACTTGGAGACCTGGGCATCAGCACCTCCCTCTGCAACTGGATTCTGGACTTTGTGACCAACAGGCCTCAGCATGTTAGGTCAGAAAACACCTGCTCTTCCACCATCATCCTCAACACCAGTGTACCACAGGGCACATGTAGGTGTTGAAGACAGTGAAGAAGTGGACATAATGGCCACACAACCACTAAAATTACCGACAATAAATGTAGAAATTCTGTAAAGTATGGTTGAGATCAAAATTATGGCACATGAAGACATGAGTATACAAAAACACGTTGGCACTAGTGGCATATGGGGTGGGAACCGGAGGGAAGTGATCATAATGACTTGTCTGAGGCTTCGCGGAATAGGCAAACATGCAAGTGGGATGTGCACACAGTGTAATCAACTAGAAAGAGTCAAACACACAGTATATTCGTTATATATACTCGTTAGCTACAATGAACAACAAAGTGATTTGATAGCTGCACTAAGGGAAGAGAAACTGGAAGTCATTTTACAAAATCTTTTAGGAAAAACCTCATGGAAAGTAAATGGACTGTATTTATATAGCGCATTTTTCACAGTGTGTTGCACTGGCCAAAGCGCTTTACAGGAGATCATACACCATTCACACACAGATGACGAAAAGACTGTCGCACAACGGCGCTAGTCAAGCCACCGGGAGCAATTTGAGGTTCATTGTCTTGCTCAGGGACACTTAGGCATGTGGGGAGACCGGGAGTCGAACCACCAACTTGCTGATCAGAAGATGACGTGCCCTACCTCGTGAGTCACAGCCACCCCAGTAGTGCTTTGATTAGGTAAAGGAGACTAATAACAAAGAAAATGTACTTTCTTTTTTCCTTTTTAAACTGCTTTTTCTGCTGTTCTACACTCCAATAGGTGGCGGTAGTGTACCTTATTAAGTTGGAATGCGAACCGCCAGTAAAATCTACAGAAGAAGTAGTAGTTGAAGAAGAAGAAGAAGAAGAAGAAGAAGAATCGTAGTAGTAGTAGTAGTAGTAGTAGAAGAAGAACTACGGTCCAGAGGTCTCAGCAGCAACAGTCGGTGTGACCACAACCTGGTAGGAGACACAGTACCCTGATAAACGTGACAGATAAGGGTTCTATAGTCCGAGCTGTCCCCGGAGTGCGGAGCCGTGCTAATTAGGCTAATGGTGCTAACTGTTGATGTGACGCACCTGTCTCTACATAAAGAAACGTCAAACTCGGTCCATTTCTGGTCCTTGTTTCAGGACCAGGACCTCTGTGGTCTGTTAGTTGAGCTCGAGTCTCTGTTAATATTGAAGTGGATCAGCGACCTGTTACGATGTGTTTGGACCCGATTCCACGGTGACCTACTTTCCCAGACTGACGTGTCAGGATGGAGACCTGAACGGGTTCATAGGAGGGTAACAGGTTTTAGTGTTATCCGATTATAAACGCAGTGTCCGTCTGAGTTTAAGAAGACTGTTCGGTTTCCATCTTCACAGAATTAAAACACTTCAGTCTTGTTCTCATGTCTGTCTAATTCGGTTTACCGAATAAGAGTCCAGATTCTGTTTTCAGGAAGTCTGACTAATTTTCACATTAAACCGTTAACTGGTGACCGTCGGTGGTTGGGGAGACGCCGGGCCCTGGGTTAGGCTCCGCCGCTCCATAGACCGCAATGAAAAAAGAGACGTCTGTGAAAGTGCTGACAGGACACCCCAAAGTCAATTACCACTCTATCCTTTGTGTATTTTAAGCAACTGAATTTTAATCTTTGTAAAACATTTCCAAAGCTCAGAAAAGCTCCTTTTTTCTGTATGAGATCACCACTGTGAATTAGCACAGTGTGCACGTTCCTGGATTCCAGGTCTGCCTTGGGGATGAGCTGGCTTGCTAGCTTAACTCAAATGTGCTACAGATGTGCTAGATTTAAAGTAAAAACTGAATAAATGACACAAATATGAGCTTTCCCACATCATCAAGATATGAGTAATGGGACAGCTGCTTCTGACACGGGGAGGAGAGAGCCAAAGAGACCATGGGATCCCACTTCGGACTGGATGCCAGAGTCCAGCGGGTCACCAGGGCTGGCCTGAAATGGTGTGTCCCGCTCAACCTTCTTCAACCAGTACCTAGGAGGAAGAACTTTCAGGGCCCTCCTGAACTGTGGCAGCAATGGCCTGGGGAAGCTCAGGGGTCATCGCAGCCATGAGGCGGGACTTACAGTATCTACTTCCACCACCAGTTCCCTGGTGTTAAAATCATTTCTTACTTCGCTGTGAGACAGAATTGGAGAGTTGCTGAGCTGGGGCGGTTGAATAAATCCAGGAAATGAGCAAACACATTTATCATATGTGTAGGTGGGTACATGGTAAAGTCATCTTCACATAAAGTTTGAGGGTCATGGTCTGTTTTTGCGTGATGGGAGTTAAGTTCACATCTTTGCAAAATGTTTTTTTTTTTAACTTAACTATTTCAGTCCCTTAAAAGCCTTGTTGAAACGACCAGGCCTGTTTGTTATTGTTTGACTTTCTTCTTCCAATGTCAACATATCTGTTCCTTATTGATAATTGTTTGTACATTGTTTTTAATAAAAATCATTTGAGGCTACTTTTGTAGTACTTTTGAAAAGCTATTTTTCTTTCATTTTTCAAATGAAATTCTTACAGGATCATTCACATTTTCTCATGAAATTACATGAGACTGTGTTTACGACAATTAACATATTTGTTAGCACTGCAGTTCTGACGTGTTACGGAAATATTAAAAGTGCTAAATACTTTCATGTAAATAATTCACACCAGCCTTAAAGAATTAGTGCATATTCAAGCCTTAATGTTTTGCGAGCTAATAAACTAGAAATGCATCTACTAAGCCTAATCTTTCACTTGAAAAACTTTAAGCTTTCATATTCATCTTCAGCATTTGGATTTTTATAACTGTTGGGTTATGGCCAGATGCTCCATGGTGAACTAATTTCCTGCAATATACTTCACTTGATCTGTATGTGCATCAAAATCAGAATATATTCACTTTATTTTTACAGATTGTGACTTATGTCAGTAGTCACAAATAAAGAGCTTCACTGATGTATGCATTATCAATTTAACAGTGATATAAGGTTATGAAATACTATGGAAAATTGTACCTACTTTGAAGCCTTTCAGCAATCAATTACAGTGGTTTTAACTATTCAAGTTTTGAAACAGCATTCAGTGCAGTTCAGTTTTATTTGTATAGCGCCAAAACCGCAAAAGTCGTCTTAGGACACTTTACAAAGTCAGGTCCAGACCTTACTGTTGTTGTTATCATCATCATCATCATCATCATCATCATCATCATCATCGAGGAAAAACCTAACAAATCCCCCCTGAGCAGCACTTAACGACATTGGGGAGGAAAAACTCCCTTTAACGGAAGAAACCTCTGACAGACCCCGGCTCTTGGTGGGCGGCCTTCTGCCTCGACCAGTTGGGGTGAGTGGATAGAGGAGAGACAAAAGAAGGAAAGCAACAAGACACAACAATCAAACACTGATCAGGTCGATGTGGCTGGTGACTGCTCATCAGAGATGTAGAGCTCCAGGGCCAGAGCAACCTGCAGACAGGTACAGGGAGAGAGAGAGGACACACTACGGGAGAGAGGAGACACAAAGTTAGTGATGTGTAATGGTGGCATATAGAAGCATAGGGAGAGAGAGGAGAGGGGAGGAGGAGACGGTGACGTAATGGTGGCATATAAAAATAAATTGGAGAATAATGAAACTATTTAGCATTATTGGCTTTAAATATGCACATTTCCTCCCTCATCTGCATACAATATTGGCTGTCCCTTAGGAATGCTTTTTTTCCCCCCCATATCTAGCTTTTAAAATCTATTTATTATTGTCCTTGTAACATGATGCCTACGGCATATTTCCCTACGGGGACAGTAACGTATGTGTTTATCCATCGGCAGATCTGCTTTTGATGCTCAAGTTTTGGTACAGACATGTGGCTAAATCAGCACCGTAAAACAGTTTGACACACTTAAGAGCTCCTGACTTGTACAGTGTAGTAACTGATATAATATCCAGCATGTTACTGATAATGTCTGCTTCTATAAAAATTTAAAACGGGCTACATAGCATTTTGTCTTCATCTGATAGTTGGCTTAGTATCGATGGCCACTTCTCTTGACAGGAGGCTTAACTCACATGGTGTAATGAGTCGCGTTCAGCATGTTTGACACCGTAATGTATTAGTGTAAGTTGTGATGTGCATTATGGCGTTAGGCGGCAGGGGTGTGAGGCATCGCAGAGGCTCCAGTGTGACACTGAAGAGTACCTACTGTGTCTAAGATGGTAGCACTAAAGCCAGTTCACGCTGAGCATGTTTGTAGATGCATTTTTAACATCCATGTGATGCAACAGATCTCCATTTAGTCAAATGTGTCCGTGCACACCCAGACACGTGTTCATAAGACGCCCCCTGGATCCCCGGCTTTTTTCTACACCAAGCTGAGATCAGCTGATTGATCACATTTATGTTTTACCAGCTGAAAACCTTTGTGTTGTGTTAATACGTGGTTTTTTTTCTCACTCTGTCTTACAGGAACGATCAGTAATCTAGTCTATGTTCTGCACGGACATTGCCTCTGTGGGTCAAAGGTCGTCTCCTTCAGTGTCATGGCTCTGATCTCTCTGGAAGACCTTGATGGATTGGACGATGAGCAAGTGGATGATGACATCACTGACAACCCCGAGCCAATGGATGAAGATGACCGCCTGCTGAGTCACTGGCAGGCTATCGCCAGTACCCACCAGGTGTCAATACCTCCAGGTGAGGAGGTGGGGTCAGTGCCCACCAGGTGTCAGTACCTCCAGGTGAAGGGGTGGGGTCAGTGCCCACCAGGTGTCAGTACCTCCAGGTGAGGGGGTGGAGTCGGCTGCTGAATCAGAAACTATTTGCTGATGTAGGGTGAATCCCCTTTGCGTTAATTACATCCATGTTTCCCTCACTTTCATTTTTTCCTTATGTCCTAGTCCCATCCATGGGAAAAATGCAGGGGAGAAGAATCTAGGAAATGCATTTATAGAGACATGTCCTTTTCTCCAATCATTCATCTGAAGTGTCCAGTCCAGTAAAAGGGCGTGATGATTCATAAGAGGTCTGCGATGCTCTCATTTGTCCTGAGTAGGGTTGCAGCAGTATCCCGATTTCATGAGATACAATGGTATGAAAGTTGACGGTGTAAGATTTGAGTCTTATAGACTCTAGTTACTTTATAAGCTTTAATTACTTCTCATACCTTTAGTTACCTTTCATAACTTTATTTTCCTGGTTCATACATATTACAGCTGTATTTATGATTGTCCAGAACTACTGAGCTTTGGTTACTTTTTAATACATTTATTTTCCTTATATATCTTAAATTGTATTGATGAGAATCAAGTAGAATCTACTTACTTTGAATACTGTAACTTCTGTTGAGGCAGGATGTCTGCATCTCTTTGTGACCAGACAGCCTATTTACATTTTAATAGAGACCTGTTTTACCCTCACCTAGACCCACTTGGCATGTCCCAAGTTCTGTCTCATAAACTTTCTGTTGATTTTAAAAAGTCCTCTCCTGTCTTCACTTGTCGTGCTTCCAACAAAAGAATTGGGTTAATTTCTAACAACGGTTAACGTGCCATGTATATTTACTGGTATTTAAATAGAAAACGCAATACCTGTGCACCTTTCTTCCCTGACTGCCTGTCAGACTCCGCACCGGGCGCCACACACACACACATGGCAGCGAGGAGGAGGCTCAACTCTATCCTCCAGAAAAGAAATTTAAACCAGCAGCACAGGATTAGTTTGGAGAATAACCAAACACCTTCGAGAACACTGTCTCTCCAGACAGGTCAGAGTACATGTTCCATTTAGTACTTTAATCCCAAACTATAAATGTCAGTTATAAAATGCGATCATTTTCCACACTGATCTGATCTCAGAAACACACACTTTCCCAGCTCATCATAATTGAATTGAAAGCCTTTTTTGTCATTGTATGTACAAAAAAATACAACAAAATGTAGTGATGTTCCATGGTGCACACAGAGCTAACAACATACACCCAGTACTCTCATTCTTCCACTCGCTGGGCTCAAGAAATAAAAAAACAAAAAAACAATCGATCAGTGAATAAAAAGAAAAAAGAAATAAAAATATAATGTGCCTCTAGAGATCGCTCTGACATGACATATCTGAAGTGTATGGCCTAATGCTTATTATTTTGTATGTTTGTGCTGGTTTAAGGTGCAGATTGTCTGAGGAAAGAAACTGCTCTTAAGTGTGTTTTCTTATTTTAAGCAACCTGTAGCGCCTGCCAGAGGGCAACAGGTCCCACAGGGTGTGAGCTGCCTTTATTGATGTTTACTGCTCTGGTGAGGTAGCGGGTCTTGGCGAGCTCTTCTATGATTTTGTGCAGTTTTAGTGATGTGCTGTAGAGCCTTGTTGTCAGCAGCTGAGCAGCCTGCGTACCATACTGTGATCCAGCAGACTTTCTGTGGAGGAGCAGTAGAAGGTGACCAACAGCAGACAGTTTCTCCTCAGCAGCCTCAGGAAGTGTAGTCGCTGCTGAGCTTTATTTACATTAGCTGTCGTGTGTGCAAACCATGTCATATTGTCAGCTATGTGGATTCCTAAGAATCTGAAGGTGTACACCCTTTCTACACAGTCCTTGTTGATGTATAGTGGGAGGGGGTCTCCCCTACTCTTCCTGAGGTCGATAATTGGTTTTTCTGGTGTTTGGTGTCAGGCCGTTTACTGAGCACCATGTTGACAGTCAACCCTAAACTGATTTGTCTCCCCTGGATTTGAGTTTAACCACAGTGGTGTTGTCCACAAATTTAATAATTGTGTTGTGGGATGGGTTTGTGTGCAATTGTGTAAAGCAAGTACAGTAGTGGACTCAGCTGGTGCTGAGCATGAGTGTGGATGAGTAATGGGGGACAAGGTTCACAGTTTGTGGACAGTTTCTAAGAAGGTCCTTAATGTAGAAGCAGGTTTGTGAGGGAAGGACAAGGTCAAACATTTCACTGATTAATATGGCAGGGACGACGGTATTAAATGCTGAACTGTAGTCTATGAAGAGCCTCCTCACATAGCTCCCGCTGTGTTCCAGGTGGTTTGGTGTGGTATGGAGAGCTATGGCAATGGCATCCTCTGTTGATCAGTTTGCCATGTGGACCGACTGAGGCGAGTCGAGGGTTGGAGAGAGGATGGCTTTAATACCAGCCTCTCAGAGCACTTCATGACTGTGGGTGTAAGAGCAACAGGCCTGTAGTCATTCAGGCTGTGTGTGGTGGGTTTCTTGGAGAGAGAGAGATGATGATGGCTGACTACAGGCAGGGTGGGATGACAGCTTGTGTGAGCAACAAGTTGAAGATGTTATTGAAGACAGGTGATCAGCACAATCTTTGAGTACTTTTTCACATACTTCGTCAGGGCCAGCAGCCTTCCTCGGATTCTTCGATGTAAGCATACTTTTCACTTTGTTTTCCTGTACAGTGAGTGAGGTGGTGCTAGTGCCTGGTGGGTTTGGTGTATCTGAGTTGGGTGCTTTCAGCTCAAATCTAGCAAAGAAGCAGTTTAGCTCCTTTGCCAGGGAGGTGTTCCTGTTGGTGATTGTGAAACTGCTGCCCTTGTAGTTGGTGATGTGCTGAATTCCCTGCCAAACCCACCTTGTGTCAGTGCCTGCAGAATGGTCCTCAATCCTCCTCCTATATGGCTGTTTGGCATCTTTGATGCCTCTGTTCAGATCAGCTCTGGCTGTGCGGTAGAGGGTCCTGTCCCCCAACCTACAGGTGGTGTCTCAGGTCCTGAGGAGTGTTTGGACTAATCGTCATCCAAGGTTTCTGACTGGGAAAAGCCTGGATGCACTTGTTTACAGTGAGGTTGTCCAAACAGCTTGTGATGTAGGACAGTACAGTTTGTGTATATTCCTCCATGTCCTGTTGTTCAAAAAAGGTCCATTCAGTTTGTGCAAAGCAGTCCTGTAGCTGACAGAGAGCTCCCTCAGGCCAGGTTTTAGTAGTCCTGGTATTGGGCTTTGTTTTCCTCCTGACAGGGATGTACGCTGGGATGAGGAACAGTGACAGATAATCAGACTGGTCAAGATGTGGGAGCGGCATTGCTCTGTATGCATGCTTTATGTTTGAATACACACGGTTGAGTGCATTATTTCCTCTGGTGGCACATTTCACATACGGGGTGAATTTGAGAAATACAGTCCTTAAGCCTGCTTGATTAAAATCACTAGCTATGATGTGAACTCCATCAGGGTGGGTTAGGGTTAGGGTTTATTCTGTTAATTTATGGTGCTATGGTGTTCAAGTGCTACACTAACGTTAGCATCTGGAGGAATATAACAACCACTGCTGTCAGCTCCCTTGGTAAATAAAAGGGTCTGCAAATGGTTGACGGAGCCTCTAAGTTCGGGGAATAGTGACTGTCTGATTTGGCTGCGAGTACACCAGTCAGTATGCACAGACATGCTAAGTCCTCCTCCCTGCTCTTACCAGAGTCACTACTTCAGTCATGGCGGTGAATTGTCCGACTTGCTAGCTGAACCATAGCGTCCGGGAATGATGGGTCAAGCTGTGTCTCCGTTGTTATTGGCACGTAGCAATCCGGGATGAAGTTGTTGTAGCCAGCTGTAACTCGATTTAATCCATTTTGTAAAAGATACGCCTGGCATTGGTATGAAAGATGCTCACTAGCGGAGGTCTCTATGACCGCTTCCTTATGATCCATAGGGACCTGGTAATCTCGAGATGACCGGCCTGGCTGTGCTGTCACGTACAGTAAATCAACTACTATTCTGATAATGGTTTAGAGCAGCGTGGCGCCAACTCTCACTACTGTCAGGTGCTTTACAAACCGGCCATTCGATTAGTGGAGAAAATAATCAGCAGGTTGATCCCTAATGAAAATAACCAGCAGCTGCACTTGGATCCAAACTAGTCCAGCAGAGCTTCAGCAGCCATGTCCTGTTTTACATCATGAGACAGGCTGGTAATGTAATGGTATAATAATAATACTAATGATATGATTATAATAGTGCAGTACGGGATAAACAGTATAACATTTTTCTGCATTGAGTAATACTTTAAGTGCTTTATTGTGATAATACTTCACATTATTAATGTTTTTTGTAATGGAGTAGGGTGGTTTTACAGTGTGATATTAGTACTTTTCTTAAGGATGTAAAATGTTGCTCTACTACTGGCACTAACATGCAAACTAACGTGCTTTAGTTATATAATAGTTGTGTACAGTTAGTTTTCACCTTGAAGTGATCCCACACTTTGGATGTTTTCTGTTTCCATTTTCTCTGGTTGGTCTCTTCTGTTTGTGCCTCACTGTTTTGTCTCTCGTTCTCCATTTTGCAGTTTGAGCATAGCATGTGCATTGATCCGTATGGAACACAGTGAACTGTATATACAGTGGGTACAGAAAGTATTCAGACCCCCTTAAATTTTTCACTCTGTTA